TTGCAGGATACATTTGGCACCAAATGCAGTCATCTCTTCACGGGAACCGGCTAGGATTAACTAGAAAAGCTTATATGAAGCGCAGGCACAAACTCATCCCATTCCAGTAACCTACATCATTTCCTTCTTCATGATTATGGAGGTATGATCGATGAGTTTGGTGCGAATGGACCTTCCCTTTGGGGTAATGACTGCATAACAGAAAGTGAAATACTCTTCGTCATATCGTCACCGATGCCACTGACATAGTGAATTTTTGTGCTAGAAGCCTTGAGAGCCTTATTGCGTGGATCATATTCGAATTTCACGCTGAAAAGAAAGTATGTTGATGCGCCTAAAATCAAAATCCAGAACATAAATAAACACAGAAGTAAAGCTTAGTAGGGGATCGTTGTATAGGATAACAAGTAAAATGGTATAGTCCAGCTTAATGGCACCCCGGGTTCATGTGATGTCCAGACGCCTTCTTTGGACTTGGCAGTCCTGCCTGCAAGCACGGCGGATATATCACTTTCGCAGCTTAAAAAACGTGAGGAAAGCGCGATCCACTCGCGTGGAAATCACGACCCCGTCCTTTGGCTAGGGCAGCGCCTATCTTCCATTTCTAAAGACATTTTGTTGGAGCGCTTGTTCCGCTACTAACCATCTACAATTCAAATGGTGAGAGTAGGATGACAAGGAGCAAGAGTTGGCACCAACAAGTGAGAACTCGTCCAACCACACCCTTTCGTCACCTACGACAGCGTTCAGACTTCACGACGGCAGTGCTTCGGTCGTGCGTTCGACGCGATCGATGCGCATGCTTTTGACTGCATCGATCGTGTCGAACGCGCGACCGAAGCGCTGCCGTCGCGAAGTCTGAACGCTGCCTAACGCACGTACGAGCACTGTTCTGGATGGAGCATTTCAACGTGTTTTTTCTGTTTTCTTCTTCCTTTTTTGTTATTTACAATCTTGGGCGTATTTGAACAGCGTAAATCGTTGTCCTTACAATGTCCTAAACTGTGCAAGGGCCACCGAACCAGAGTTTTCAACTCACTGTTTTTCCGTGGAGCGAGGTATCTCCAATTACTTCCATCAGACCTGCTGGAGGCGCCTAACACCTTTCCGTGGAGCGAGGTATCTCCAATTACTTCCATCAGACCTGCTGGAGGCGCCTAACACCTACACGTTCAGAAAGAGACTAAAGAAGGTCGATCT